CTGTCTCCTGTCCTCCTTTCCCCTATCCTGCTGTCTCCTGTCCTCCTGTGTCCTGAACTTCTGTCCTCCTTTGCTCCTGTCCGCCTTTCCTCCTGTCTCCTTCTCTCCTCCTGTCCAACTGACCTCCTGTCCTCCTTTCTTTCTGTCCTTCTGACCTCGTTTCCTCCTGTCCTCCAATCCTCCAGTCCTTCTGTCCCCCAATGCTCCTGTCTCCCTCTCTCCTCCTGTCTCCTGACCTCCTGTCCTTCAATCCTCCTGTCCTCCTGTACTCATGTCTCCTTCTCTCCTCCAGTCTATCTGTCCTACGTCCTCCTGTCCTGTCCACTTATCCTCCTATCCTCCTATGCACCTGTCCTCTGTCCTCCTATTGTCATGTCTACTGTCCTCCTTTCTCCTATCCTGCTGCCTCCTGTCCTCATGTCTACTTCTCTCCTGTTCACCTGTGCACCTGTCCTCCTGTCTTCTGAACTTCTGTCCTCCAATCCTCCTGTCCTCCTGTCTCCTGACCTCCAATCCTTCTCTCCTCCTATCCTCCTGTCTCCTGTCCTCCTGTCCTCCAATCCTCCTGTTCTCCAATCCTCCTGTCCTCCAATCCTCCTGTCCTCCAATCCTCCTGTCCTCCAATCCTCCTGTCCTCCTGTCCTCCTGTCCTCCTGTCCATCTGGTGTTACAGGAAGCAGCTCCAGCTGTATGACTTCATATCCATTAACTCTGACATTTAGCTGTGTGTGCAGCCCTGCAGCAAAGCCACAGCCCTCCATGTCCTCTCAGATACCGTCTACATAAACACCTGATCTAATCGTCTGTGACATCATCGTCTGTCTGATTTGAATAAAGGTGTTTAACCAGGGACAGTCGCTCAGACCAACGTTAGACAGAAGCTCCTCCCATTAGTGACGTTAATCAGCTTGTGTGTCTCAGTCAGACTGAACTTGTTGGATGAGACCAACTCATAATTAATCTAAACTTCAGTGATAATAATTCATAATTAAGATCCTCTTAGTTTAGAGATATTTTATGATTATTTATAAAATAGCAACACAAATTAAAAACATTTATAAGTATTATGGATTCACAGAGAACCTTTACATCTGTCCTCTTTCTACTCATGCTTTGTTGTTTCGTGTCTGTTTTTCAGCCTTGCAGCCGCTCTTAAGAAACTGGACCCCGAGGATGGAGAGCAGATCATGGAGTATTTAAAAACTCACGCACTGCTGAGCAGAGAAAAAGCCTGTAAGACCTCAGTCTGTGGAAGTGTGTTTGAGATGACCGGGTATCAGGTCAGAGGTCAGCTCTGATGTTTCCATCCAAGTTCAAATTTAGTCATTAAGTGATTTCCATCATTTCCCAACATGTTTGTACCTTGTTAGTTAGTTTCCAACCTTGATTATTGAGTGCCATAACCTATTAGCATAAAGGTGCAGCGTCCTACTCAGCCATCATCACCTATAGCAAGGCGGTCTGCGGACCATCCGTCTACCACCACCATGTTTGGTGGAGGTTATACTGAACAACAGCCTCCAAGAAAACAACTTTGGTTTCTGAAGTCCGTGGAATGTTTCCCAGATGCCTGATCATTCAGATGTAATTTGACCCAAGAGGGAGGGGTATTGTTGTTCTTTTGGAGAAGACAGCTTCTGGCCTTTGAACTCCTCGATGCCATCCAATCTGGTCTGCTAAGTTCACTGGTCTGCAGATGCTGAGATGTTTTTCTTTTTGTGCTTTTATGACCTCCTGG